TTGTTTTTCTGCCTGTGAACTGCTCCCCAGCATCAGCGCCGGCACTGTGCAGTTGAGGTCGACCCAGTCGCCCAGCTCGTACTCCTCCTGCAGCCCACTGATGAGGGGTGTGTGCACGTGCAGGGCGTTCAGTTGAACCTCACGGGAGTTGTTCAAAATGGTCGGCAAAAAGCGAGCCGCCATCATCGAGGAGCAGCGAACCGTGAAAGAGGAGCTGGGACTGTGGTGGTGGACGATGTGCTCCGCCTGGAGGGTGAACTCCAGCAGGCTGGTGGTCGACTTTACGACCTNTTCTCTTCCTCTTTCTTTTTCTTTGGAACGTCCAAAACCTCTTCCTTGACATAGTCCTCCGGCACTGGAATGTCATTGATGAACCAGCTAATTTTCGATTTTGGCCGACTGGGACTGCTGGTGCAGCCCAGTGAGACACGATCGCCAATTCCATAAGTTCGCTGGTGGGCAGTGGTCATCTTTGGAGGGCTGGTGGGTGGAACTGGAAAAGAAGAGGTAAAAGAGGTTGTTAGTTATAAAACAAAAAACTTTTGACACTTACTAAAAACGGCGACCGTGATCTGCTGGCGCACCGCCTCAAAGATGCCATCAGCAGTGGCCACACAGCGGTAGCTGCCCTCGGTGTCCAGGTCCACGGAAAGGAGCGTCACCAATGCATCTTCGAATTTGCCTTGATTTCCGCTTGTTTTCCAGCTCTCATTCTCATCCTCGACCAGCAGTCTGACGCCCGGCACCGTCGTCTTATGATGGATGGTCGGCGCTGGCTGAGAGTAAACTAAAGAGGAAAGAGGAGAAGAAAGAGGAGAGGGGTTAATAAATAAAAAGCAAAGTAAATAAAGAGTCCGTTAAATTGCTCATTAGGGTAGAGACAAGAGAGTAGAGTAGAGGAGAGGAGAGGTCAATCCTGACCGGCAAACTTCTGCTAATTAATAATAGCCCCGACCGACCGACCGACTGTGAATGGCCTTGATGAATAAGTGCGCTCTCTTTCTCAGTTTATCATGTGCTTCGCTTCTCTGTCCGATTGGTC